GGTTATATTCTCGAGCGATGTTCTGAATTTAAGGACCTTGGTGTCTTATTTGATTCTGGACTTAGTTTTTCTGGACATATTGGACAAATCACAAAAACAGCTTACAAGCTACTCGGTTTTTTTATGAGAAACTGGAATAACTTTTCAAATATTAAAAGTTTAAAAACATTATACTTTGCATATATTAGATCAAAGCTGGAATATGCATCTTTAATATGGTCGCCTATATACCAAAATAACATCGTATTGATTGAGTCGATTCAGCGTAAGTTTTTGAAGTTTTTGTTTTTTTAAATCACAAGGAACCTATCCTGAAAGAGGTATAGATCATAAGGTTTTGTTGAATATGTTCAATGTAATTCCCTTAGGGGAAAGGAGAAATTGTAGTGCCATAACGTTTTTATATATTTTAGTTCATAATAATGTTGAGTGTATGTTTCTCGTTAATAAGCTCTGTTTTTTGGTTCCTCGCCAAAATTCTCGTGGAAATTATTGTTTTTATTCTCCCATTTGTCGCACAAACATTATGCGTAAATCACCAATATTCAATATTTGTAATGTATTCAATACTGTTTCAAATAGCTGTGATATTAACTATGACACGTTGAAAAATATAATTGGTTTATATATTGAAAGATTGCAAACTAATGCAATTGAGATGCTAAACTCTTCTACAATTTCTCTGACAGTCAATCGACGATTTGGACGCACCAGATCTTTGATTTTCTGAAGGTAGGGGTCATCAGTTGAATTCGAAGGCCTTCTTGGTAGGGGATCATCTTCAATTGACTGACGACCACTTTTAAATCATTGGAGCGTAATCTCCGAAAGCTTATTTCAAAAGTTGAAAGCTTTACGTTGCATCGTTGTTCCAGAAAACAGCACATTTCAAAAATCGTCAGTAACATCGTCACTCAAATAACAATATCACGAATCCAAGAACATGTGGTTACAGAGAAGTTTATGCACAACGCAATGCCGTCAACAGATGTCAATAAATATCTCCATTAGCGTGTAATTAAAAAAACTTCGGTTATTTTCTGAACAGGCGTATAATAATCATTGTAGCTTAATACGAGTTACGGAACCAATTTTTGTTAAATTTAGAACATATTTGTTATACACCATTAACTGATAATCTTTAAATAATTGGAAATATGACCTAGATTTTTATTGAGAAGTGTCACATTCCATACAAATTTTGCAACGAATGCAATTTGTATTTCAAAAATGGTTAATATATTTTCAGAGTATTATTTGCGTTTTATCTTATCGTTAGTCAATTTGTTTCAGAAAAATTTCAGAATGCTTCAGTTCTATTTCAGAAAAGTGTAATTGTGTAAATATCAAATCATTAATTAGTTGCCGACAATATAAACTTTCTTGAATTAAGTTGTAATAGTGAAAATAACCATAATATTAGTTAACTTTACTTGAATATTTTCTAAAATAATTTTGGCAAATAATTGCAAACACATTTTATACTTACTGGAATGCCTTGGCGCATTTTGGAATATGAAAGATTTAAAAGAAATACAATTTACATTCTATGAATTAAAATGAACTTTTCTGAAGCACAGACTTGTTGACAGACCTATGATTGAAATCTGAAATCAAAATTACGATTTGCGAAATAAAACTAAATATGATAAAATATAATTGGCGTTTTGTACAATAAATCTGAAAAAGGTGTAGGCTAAGATCGGAGAAAATGTAAATTATCCATTAAAGTTAAGTATAAAGTAATAAAAACAAAATAAAAAAATTGTGTATATATGTAGGGTTAAAAGTTTTGTAGTTATACTTCAACCGCAAAATAATGTTTTTATTCGTTTAAATACACAGAAACAATGTTTCTATTTTTAATTTAACGAAAAGGGAGTTTAAGTCAATGTAACTGTATATTGTAATCTAAATAGGTACCTCAGAAAAGCAATTTTTTTCAACATTTTCATAACTTACCATACACAAATTGTAACAATAATTCCAAGATCACTGCTCTTAGCAACATATTTTCGAAGTAACTGAAATTATTTTTAGGTTGGCATACATTTTGCGGATGACGATGTCTGATAACCCTTCTTTATATCAAGCATAATCTGTAAACACTTACGAGAAATGTTTTGTAAACAAAGCAAAACAATACATGGAGGTAAGTAATAATTTAACGGGTTGTATGCCCAAACGTTAAGTTACTATCTGATTTATTTTATAAATTAACATATTTTGACCGATATTTTACTTACTCACCACCTACCAAACAAGGTTCTTGCTATGGGTATTGACGATTTAAGGTTAGAGATAGCAAAAAAATGTTTGAGAAGAATTTTTCCAAATTTTAAATATTGTTAGTGTACAGGGTGGTTGATTTTCGATAGTTTTATAGGGTACAGCCAAAACGGTGATAGATACAAAAAATCTGATATTGATGTCCCGTCCTCTTTTTTGAGTTTACTTCGCTGGTACCAAAAGGTCTTGGCTAACTTGATTAGTTTTAGATATACAGGGTTTTTTACATTAACCTCTCTATCTCCGTTGTCATTCAATTTAGATGAAAAAAGTGTGCACATTATTTGTTCTATTTTTTGTTAGGAAGCCAGTGGCGTACTCAGATTTTTTACAAATCGCACAGTTTTTCCGATACTACATAAACATAGGATTTTTTTAAATAGAACACCCTGTATTTGGCCATCCCGTTGAATGGCATTTTTTTACCTTTTCAGCTATATATAATAATAGTTACTTTTTATTTGCCTAAATGAAGGAAAATGCAAAAATGTATAGATATTTTTTCAGTTGGCCATGTTATTTATTTATTCGTCCTTTGTTGTTTAATATTGACAGTTAGTTTATTTTTGACTGACTGAAAGCTTGTTAAACATCTATTATTTGGTTTCAATTTTGAAAGGTATAAAAATGGTGTACGAAAATCTTTAGAAAGTTCAAATGTTAGAGTGTTACATTGAAAGTGAAAAAAATAGTGACATAACTTTAAACTTATATTTGGACAGATACCCAGAGCGTCATCAGCCAGAAAAGACAATTTTTAGCCGAGTCTATGATAACTTGTGTGAGTTTGGTTCTTTTCAAAAACCGAGAGCTAAATCTTATAATATACAGAATAGAGAAAATGATGAAATCAATACTTTAGCCTTTGTTGTCGCAAATCCCAATGTATCTAACAGAGAAATTCAAAGGACGATAGGAATTGGTAAATTCAAAGCATTGAGAATTTAAAAAAAAAAACACAAGTTCGATCATATACCATAAGAAAAGTCGACCATTTGCATCCAGGAGATGAAGAGAGACGTGTCATTTTCTGTCAATGGTTTTTGCAGCAAACTCATGTAGACCTCAATTTTTTTCAAAATGTTATTTGGACCGACGAGGCTTTTATAAGCAGCGAAGGTATATTCAACGGCATAATGCGCGTTATTGGTCAGATGTGAATCCTCACCAAACTGTGGCCAGAATTCAGCAAGGGCAGTTTGGTTTTCATGCATGGGTAGCTCTCTTCCACAATAGAGTGTTAGCTTACGAAATGTACGATGAAAACCTTAACGCTCAGAGATATGTGAGAATTTTACAAGAAAATATTATTGAACTGCTGGACGATATGTCACTAGCTCAACGATATAATATGTTCTTTCAGCATGATGGTGCGCCTCCACATAATTCCCACATAGTTAGAGAATTATTAAATCATAATTTCGGGGACAATTGGATCGGTACGTACGGACCAAACAGGTGGCCGCCTAGGTCACCAGACCTAACCCCTATAGACTTTTATTTTTGGGGGGATGTTAAAGACAAAATTTATAAGTATAGAGCTAATAATGTCGAGGAGCTAAGGGAACATTTTGAAAACTATATTCAGCGGGTGTCAAATATTCACATTTACAATGCGACCCGTTCCATTGCCAAACGTTGTCAGTTATGTATCAACGAAAATGGCCGACAATTCGAGCACTTGCTGTGACTTTGTTATGTCATTTTTGTTTTATTGTTGTTTCTCTCATTTTATAGTTGTTATTTTTGTTTAGTTTATGTTTAGATAATAGTTATAAGTGTACCTATAATTAAACCTATTAAGTAAAGATAAATGGATAATCTAATTTATTTTTTTTTTAATCTTTTAGTCTAAGTTAGGTGCTTAACATAAAAATAATAATAGAAAACGAAGAGACCAATACTAAATATAACAATAAATAACATGGCCAACTGAAAAAATATCTATATCTATACATTTTTGCATTTTTCTTCATTTAGGCAAATAAAAAGTATCTATTATTATATATGGCTGAAAAGGTAAAAAAAATGCTATTCAACGGGATAGCCAAATACAGGGTGTTCTATTTAAAAAAACCTATGTTTATGTAATATCGGAAAAACTGTGCGATTTGTAAAAAATCTGAGTACGCCACTGGGTTCTTAATAAAAAATAAAACAAGTAATGTGCACACTTTTTTCTTCTAAATTGAATGACAACGGAGATAGAGAGGTTAATGTAAATGGGCCATTTTAAAAGAAAACGAGAGTTTTCATATTTATGTTAGCTTTGACTAAATTGATTTTAAATGTTTTTTTAGTTTTTTCGAAATTTCGCGTGTAACCTAAGTTGAAAATACACTTTTTAAATACACTGTTAAACCTTTCATAACTTTTGTTGAACTTTTTTATATTACTATAGCAACGCCAGCATGAAAGACGCCACCTTGAAATTTTTAAATTATCATAACTTCTAAATGCTTTAATCGATTTCAAGAAATGACGGTTCATTTTAAAGAGCTATTAATAAAATTTATATTTATGACATGGGAATAAAAATATTATGTTCCTGCGCAACGGTAGACAACACTAATCAGAAAGTTTTGTAATTGTCTCCATTTAGAAAAAAAATTAAATGCAACGATATAGTTTTTTTTCATGGCTTGATAGAACATTTATTAACGAAAACAAATACATAAACGGAGGTCGATATCTTTTTATCGTTTTCAAGTTATTGCTAAAGTAGTGAAGTTGTGCTAGAACATCATCCTTTAACATATTTAGTTTTCTCAATAACATTGACATAATCCAAGCCAGAATTAAATTGTAAAACTATGCCAAGCTTGTTCTTAAAAAGTGCTTGCTTTATTTTGAAATTTTTTGATAGCTACAATGTTTCATTTTTTTATTAATTCCAAATATCTGAGTATTTATAAAGATTATCGTCTTCATAACGAGACAGGCTATGCCCTATGAAAATAGACAACTGAAAAATTATGTCAAACGAAATGAGAAGCTCTTGCTACGTGCAAAATTAGTGTTATTTTTGAGAAAAGTAATTGTGTTCCATATGAAATTCCCAGGTCAGTGCAGTTTTTTAAAAAAGTTTTTAATTTCTTGAATCATGAAAAAACCTTTTTTTTTGTTGTTTTTATTTATTTATTCTTAAGCTATGAAAGCCATTTATTTTATATTTCGAATATTGTGGTAAAATACCATGAAAACATTTTCCACTGTTAATACAAGAAACCCTGCAATGAGTGAAATTTTTCGAAATTTGCACCTATTTCGTGAACACCCTGTGAAAGCTATAATAATGAAATTTTGTATTTAGAGTTTTGAGACGTGATTAAATTGAAAATGTTATCCATTCTTTCTTAAAAAAACGCCTAATATGTTTTTTAATTTGGGAGGGTCTTATCAGACGTCAAAAAATATAATATCTAAGAGTACTATCACATAAAAAAAGAATTATGGAACTCAGTCAACGTCATCCTAAATATGGAGGTGTTCCGACTTTAAGTGAAACACACTGTATATATATCATTTTTGAATCGAAAGTCGTCAAAAAGCAAATGTAGGCTTGAAAATTGTATCAACTTTTTTTTTACAGTATATGCATATAAAATGATGACGTATGTGTATTTAATATTATTAAATATAATATGAGACTTCCTTCCTTTATTGCTATTAGTTACATGTATGTAATGACTACAAATTTCTAATTAAGAGGAATTCACTGCAGCTTATGTTTCAACAAAAATCGATTTTAGTTTCGCATTTCTTTTTCTTGAAACTTCATCGACCAGCATCCATCTATCGCTGTCGTCATTTTGTTCTTCAGTAAATTCTGCTGCACCATCTTTATCGGACAAAACTACGTCTGTGCCTTCCACTTTCAGAGAAGTGTTACTGCTAATGTCCAAATTCCATAATTTGTACTCTTTACCCTCTTTTAGATACGACAAAACTCCTCTAAAAATAAAAATAGTATTTTAATGTAATACAAAGCAGCAATTGAACAATATTTTCTCTCAGGTAAAACCAAAGGATAAAACAAGCAAAAGCAGCTTACTCAATTGCAACATTGCGGATGATGTAATGCTCAGATCCGTCCGCTTCCAATGTCCACAATTGCGAATTCTTATTTTCCCATTCTCTCATTTTGAGGAACTGGTTTGGCACATCTAGCACCCTTCCTGTCTTTTTATTCTGTATCACAAATTTTTCTTGGTGTTCTTCAATATAAATAGGTTTTGGTTTCGCATTAACTTCAAGTTCTTCTTCGATCAAGAGCCATTTGTCGCTTTCATCATTTTTCTTATGATCAACACATGCTACATTGCCATTTACGTCGGCTAAGATCACATTGACGTTTTCAATATGGATCCTTGTGTCACTCCTGGTATTCAATTTCCATAAATAGAAGTCTGTGTCGTTTTTGGAATACGTCAGAGCTCTTCTAAATATGCAACATTTAACATTAACGTAAATAAATATATTAAACTAGATAACTTAGGATGAATATACAGGGTAGCCCATCGAAAACGTACCGCAAGGCATTACAGGGTAGTAATGAACTTTTCGGCAAAATCCAAAAACAGGTAAAGTTTGCTTCTGAGGGGGACAACTTTTGGCGCAAAAAGCATAGCAAATTCTTCAACCCCCTAAGTGGGGGTGCCATCCCCCAAATTTTTTTTAAATGGGAATGGGGGTCAAGTGGGGGGTCATTAGAAAGGGCTTTTAATTCTCTATACATCGATTCTTACTTTTTGAAAATCGATCCANAAATTGTTTGAAATTAAGCCTTTAGAAAATTGATGAATTAAGTAATGTTGCTGAAAAAAAATGAGTTTCAGATTTATTTTTCAAAATATCTGTCAAACTAAAACGTCTTGATGTTTCAGTGACAAATAGTGGAACAAATAGTTTTAGTCATCGTCTTTTTGTTGTAGATGTATACAAAGTTCCTCAAAATATTTCAAAACATTTTTAACATTTATAAAGAAATATACAAGTTTAAAATTATCAGATATAAATGGTTCTAATTTTGAGTCAATTTAGGTTTAAAAAAGCATTTTCCTTTCGTTTTTGGAGCCTTATTATAGGAGCTGATTGTCTTGCAAGATTTAATGTAACAGCTGACTTAAAAAATACACATTTAATTTACAATGGATCCAGATTTGAGTTTAATGGTGTTAGTTTAAATACAAATTATACGCCTTTGCATATATGCATCTTATTCAATACCATATTCAATAACAATTGCGTTTAAGTGATTTGGAAATGTATCAGAATAAATTCTTGTTGCTTCCACACAATTGCCGAGTGCTTGTCCATAAGTTAGATGCATGTAAGCGTTAATGAGATGTTATAATGCCAAATTTTATTATTTTAATACGAATTATTAGTTGTGATGTTATTTCATTATTATTGTGTTTAAATAGCTTTTGTTAATAAACTTTATAATTAAATAAATTAATGTTTAAACGTGTTATACAAAAACTGATTTTTTTCGAAAACGGCTGATTTTATCAAAACAAATGTAGAATACCTTTTTTAAACAGGAATAACCAAAGTATTTGAAAATTCAATTTTCAGCTCTATAAAGTGACTCCTGTCATAATTTTGACCCAACGAGTGTGGTGGCAAGTCCATTCCTGACTCCCCTGACAATGTAAGACATCTACTGTAGTATGGTTTTATGAGCTTTTGTGGTCTATATAAAATATTAAAATTTTATTAAATTATACAAGTCGGTTCGAAAGTTAGAACCGAAAAGGTAAATCTCTGGGTACCCCTTTGGGGCTCTGTATTTCCGTTAAGGGGCACTTTATGAAAAAAAATATAACAAACTAGGGTTATTTTGACCTCCCTTATACACTGCCGAGAGTATGCCATATACTTACCAGGTACCCTGTATAGGAGACGTGATACTATTAAAAACAAAATTGCTAAAACAGAACTTGAACACATGGTTCAATTAGGTATTTATAGATTTATATCTTCATTCGTATCTTTGCCATTGTATATGGACCAGAAAAAATAACCAAATGATTGCAGATCTTGAGGAGATTACAAAAAAACAATTATACGATACCAGATCGGCGTCCCCTACCACATCCAAAATGTTTCCTAATGAATAATCATGAATGCCAACATTAAAAAAATGTTCTTCATGAGATTTTTTTTAAAATTTTTTTTAAACAATTCTAATGTATTTTGAGAAACTTTCATAATAAAAAAAAATTACTGGCAAACTCTTACATTTTCTCTTTTCGTGTACTTATAACCGTTTAAATAAATCCTGAAAACGACACAATCGAAATCCGATTCCCAAATTAATAAACATTTTCAATTCGCACATACTAAATTATACAATTTTGTCTCAATTTAACCATATCTACATCTCCAACGGGTTCTGAGATAGCAATTTTACCGCGTCAAATTTGAAATACCCTGTTCATATTAATATATAAAATCTGATAAATACTGTAGCTGTGCTTATTTGTATTTTTTTATTATTTATCAGCTAGAATCTCAATTATATATGTTTGAAAATAAATTTGTAATTCTTAAACATATATATTTCATTTCTTTCAGTAACTGTACTAGTTGTTTTTTTTTAAGGTTAAGAGAATGTCACATAGCAGGTAATTAATCGATTGTAATCAATAAGATCGTTCCTTATGTGAAATTTTGCAAAATAATAATAATAATAATAATAATAATAATGCATTTATTGCTCAACAAAACAAATGTTCCAATTACAGGACAAAAAAGTATAGACATTCAAGTACAAAACACTAAAAATATAAAAAATCATAGTTGTAAATAAATACAAATAGATATATAAACTACAAAATACGTTCTAGTTTCTACAATATCAATTAAAATTTATGAAATTAAAAAATTGAGTTGCTACAGATAACAAATTATTTATGGTACAGTGGTTTATATCACACTGCATAGATATTAAATTATAATTATTTGCCATGACATAGATGGGAGATTTAAGAAGTATGTTGGTTTTAGTATTCGCACAATAGAACATGGAATCAGCACGAGACCCATGTCTAGGAACTCGTATAATGAAAGAATCCCGTAGATATGCTGAGTCAACTCTGGCATGAAAAAGTTTAAATAGGAAAGATACACTATTGAGTATTCTTCTATTCTGCAAAAACTGCATTTTGAATCGATCTACAGCAGCCTATGTTCATATCCTCTATTTAGATAATAACCATCAATTCGAAGGCTTAAAAATTTAAGAAAACGACGTTGAACTTTTTCAAGCTTGTTAGTATGTATCTGGTAGTAAGGGCGTATATAAGGCGGCAGTATTCTAATTTAGAACGAACTAATGAGTAAAACAGACACCTCAATGCAGTAACGTCATTAAAAGAACTTGAATTTCTCACTATAAAACTCAAAGCTCTATTAGCCGCATTTATAATTGTAATGATATAATCAGTGAAGAACAGTCTATTGTCATATATTACATCTAAATCCTTAACATTATCGCAACGTGCTAGTAACGCATTTTCAAGGGTGTAGCTAAATATTACGGTTCTTTTCTGGATGTAAACGAGCAGACCTTACACTTATCTATGTTAATAGGTAATTGATAATTCTCACACCATCTACTTACAAGATCTACCTGCTCTTGCAGTATTAAACAATCTTCCAAATTAGATACACTGAGACACAGCTTCAAATCGTCGGCAAAATATAGATTATTAGATTTTAAAGACGGAGATAAATCATTAATAAATAAAATAAAAAGAAGTGGCCCTAAATTTGACCCTTGGGGTACTCCAGATGTCGCTATAAAATTTTCAGATTTAAATCCNGTTTATATCACACTGCATAGATATTAAATTATAATTATTTGCCATGACATAGATGGGAGATTTAAGAAGTATGTTGGTTTTAGTATTCGCACAATAGAACATGGAATCAGCACGAGACCCATGTCTAGGAACTCGTATAATGAAAGAATCCCGTAGATATGCTGAGTCAACTCTGGCATGAAAAAGTTTAAATAGGAAAGATACACTATTGAGTATTCTTCTATTCTGCAAAAACTGCATTTTGAATCGATCTACAGCAGCCTATGTTCATATCCTCTATTTAGATAATAACCATCAATTCGAAGGCTTAAAAATTTAAGAAAACGACGTTGAACTTTTTCAAGCTTGTTAGTATGTATCTGGTAGTAAGGGCGTATATAAGGCGGCAGTATTCTAATTTAGAACGAACTAATGAGTAAAACAGACACCTCAATGCAGTAACGTCATTAAAAGAACTTGAATTTCTCACTATAAAACTCAAAGCTCTATTAGCCGCATTTATAATTGTAATGATATAATCAGTGAAGAACAGTCTATTGTCATATATTACATCTAAATCCTTAACATTATCGCAACGTGCTAGTAACGCATTTTCAAGGGTGTAGCTAAATATTACGGTTCTTTTCTGGATGTAAACGAGCAGACCTTACACTTATCTATGTTAATAGGTAATTGATAATTCTCACACCATCTACTTACAAGATCTACCTGCTCTTGCAGTATTAAACAATCTTCCAAATTAGATACACTGAGACACAGCTTCAAATCGTCGGCAAAATATAGATTATTAGATTTTAAAGACAGAGATAAATCATTAATAAATAAAATAAAAAGAAGTGGCCCTAAATTTGACCCTTGGGGTACTCCAGATGTCGCTATAAAATTTTCAGATTTAAATCCGTTGTAAGAAACATATAGTTCACGTTGAGAAAAATAGGATTTAATGAGAAGAATCAGATTATAGTTTAAGCCAAATAAACTTAACTTATTAAGAAGTATGCCCTAATTAACTTTGTCAAAAGCCTTCGAGAAGTCTGTATACACCACATCAACTTGTCCCTTGTTATCCATATGACATACTGGTATCATCATACAAAATATATGAGTTGAATTGATAAATGC